ATTTAAATTCAATTATTCCTAGTGTTGTATTGTTGTTTGGGGCTCTGCTTCCTCATCACTTATGGAGGAAATTGAACGTATTCATATGAGAGCAATTAGGATTGTTTCCAAGCTACCTATGACCACTCCAGCTGATGAGGTCAAGAAATTGAGGCAATGGAATCCCATTTCTTTGTATTATGTTAAAAGACTGCTGGTTCTGACCTATCAATCCTATCACAGCTTAAATACAGAGGTTCCAAATATTTTAATTTCTAAGGCAAAAACGATTTACAGCTTAAGAAATTCATTATATTTAGAAGTGCCAAGACCAAGATCTGAAACTGGCAGGTCTTCTTTCAAACATAGGGCCGCCTTGGCATGGAATCTTCTCCCCCATCATATCAAGAACTGTGCTAACTTAAGATTGTTTAAGATTAAGCTTAAGGCTAACAAGTATTTTCTCAATAGCATAGCCACCTTCAAAAGTAATATAACTAATACCTTTTATGGCTGAATCTTACCTCTGCTTGCCAAATTCGAGTCTCGTGTCATCTTCGATTAGCATAAACGAAGCCCACTCAGACACTATGGTAAAGCCGTTATTTCTCATCCACCTCATGGCCTGATGAAGAGATTCACTAGCACTCTTTCCACTGAAAAGGTGTTCGTAGAATCGACTCATCAGCTGCTCTGTTGCTGAGTCTGGAATGGCCCAAAGTGCAACTAACATCGAGCGAGCACCAGATCCTAAGAACACACGGGCAATTCCTATAACTCCCTCGGCTTTTACCTGTCCACTTCCACTATGAAAACAGCTGAGTACCACCAATTTAGCTCTGACTTTTACTCGTCAGCCATCGTCAACATATAAGCACCCCTTGGTGGGAGAGTGTTCAGAGTATTGGATGTAAGAATGGGGGCGAGAGCAATTTCTCATCTTTCGGCGTTACCATAGGCAGCAAACTAAATCAGGCTCATTGAATTTATCCTTTCAAATACCGCCTGCTTCGTTGCTTCCTCTTCTACCAGGCCCGGAACACCCACCAGTCGTCCAACCATCTGCGCGTCCTCTCTAGCACCTGGCAATGGCAGCAGCCAATCAACCTTGGGATTGCTTATTATCAAGGCACCAGTGTTGCTGTGATAGTCCTCTGGACTGTCCTGAATGGTCTTGAGTGTCGTCAAAGTAGGAACGACACGGATCCTATGAGTGCGCGAGAGGTATTTGGCTCCCTCCTTTTCACTTAGGGCAGCAAAGGGACCTTCGTACAAAGTGCGGTCAAGAACAATAATGACTTCCAGCTCCTCCAGAAAATAATAAACTGAGGCAATAAAGATTTTTTAGCACAAATGTAGACTTGAAATGACTTCCTCGTTCTTTTCCAAGAGTCCCAATCTTTTGGGGCTCTTTTTCTCTGGGGAAACACGTTGCAGTTCAAGTATATTTAAGGTCCGATCTTCGCATTCTTCAATGGGTAAAATTCCAAGACTCCGGAAATTATCAGCCAAAAATGTACTCAAGGGGAAATCTTTGGGCAGCCCAACCTGAACGAAATTCTCCTCTGGTGACATTCCTCTATAATGAATGGCTCCGCTTGATTTCAAGATCCTCAAATGCACGCCATTTCGAAAATAAGAAATTTAAAGGCAAGTACAGTTATTTTTGTTTCTCAAAATGAGTTTCAATGCCAAACCAAAATTTTGGATTTGCAGAGATGTGCGTTTCAACCAAGTACTTCTCTGCCATCAAGTCAGATGGGCCTCTTCCTCGACTTAACTCCTCAACATAAAGAGCATGATGGACATTTCCGGTGACACAAAGCAAACTACTTAGCAGCTTGCAGGGAAATTTTCCTGAGTCTTCAAGAAATTATATTTTGAACCGATCATTGACGCCTAAGAAATATCTCAACTCCTCATACTTTTCAATGCATAGATGAAGACGCGAAAGGGAGTGTCTGATTTTACGCTGAAATAAATACAAAATAGCGCATTCTTGAAGTATTTGGGACTCTTTCCTTCTATCTCCAATATCTCTGGATATGGATAATGCTTTCTCCAAGCGTACCTCCGAAGCTTCAAAATCTCCGATAATTCTAGACAAATTTCCAAGGTATGCAAGTGCTGCTGCTTCTCTTTCTTTATGACCAATTTCAATACTGATAGCGAGCGCTCTTTGGTAGTACTCTTCAGCTTTGTCGTATTTGTCGAGCGAACGAAACACAGTACCGACCTAGGTTTCCGTAATCGGCTCCCTCTGCTGTCATGTCTCCAATTCCAGTTCTGATGGCAAGCGCTTTCTCGTAATACTCTTTGGCCTGGTCGTATTGCCCGGCCGCGTGTAATACAGTACCTAGGTTTCCGTAGTCGTCTGCCTCTCCTTCTTTGTCGCCAATTTCGCTCAGTTCTGATGACAAGCGTTTTTTTGTAATAACTTGCGGCTAAACACAGGAATCGATCCGACTTCTGATTGCTCGAGATGAAACGTGTTTTGTCTGTGTAAACGTCTCTAAAGTGTAGCCTAGTAAGCATTGTATGGAAAAGTAACTATTCCTGTCGCCGATCGCCAAAGTCTCTATGCGATCGAATCTCCAGCCCATGATGTATGGACAGCGAGTGTAATTACATTATCAAAAGCTTTTTTAAGTCTTTGAAAATTCCTTGCGGTAGCAATTCAAGTTTGTTATAGGACAGGTAGCTTACGAAGAAAAATTAAAGCATGTGGTTGAGGTCTTGAATAATAGCGAACGGAATATAAATTGCTGTCTTTCTAAAACGTTTAATAACTAGTTTTTTAATACACTTCTCAAGATTATAACAATACAATTATGTAAGAAAGGTTGTGTTCGTTCATCGTGGTAAAGCACAATAATATATCTTATTAACCAAGCGCGAGGGCCGTACTGGGAGAATATCGGCCCGAGGTCTTGACAGTACGGACCGAGCGCAGCGAGGTCCGTACAAAAAAGACCGAGGGCCGATATTCTTCCAGTACGGTCCCGAGCAAGCTTGGTTAATAAGAGATTTATTATACGACTGAAGTTCAAAGGGACACAAGTGCGGTATCATTCGGGACCATTCGGGACAGTGCCCGGTCCAATACTTAGAGAATATTGGACCGGCAATAGAGCATTTTGATTGGTTGATTTTAGTTATTGGCCCTCTGACTGCCCGAGTCGTGTAATAAATGTTAAATAATGATGAAATTAGGCATACACTGCACACAGGAAATCACAGTTTCTCTGTGAAAAACCACACACCTTGCAATCCTGACTGTAGTGAATGAAATGTTAATTCTAAGGATATGCATTAAATTTATGATATATGGAAGTGAAAATGCTTTCATTTGTTGCAAATGTTGCCTTTGTTCCTATATTTTCAAAAAATTGATGCATCTTTCTTTTCTTGACACTAGGGTTGCAATTCTTGCAGAACCAGCTTTTTGGTTCTCGCTTTATTCCAGCACAGGACCTGTGACAATAAATGAGATGTAACACCTGAGGGGAATGATCAGTGTGTAATAACAAAGATCCAGTGTGTTTTTCTCATGGTAATGTAGTGTATTATGTTATATACCAAAGTTATTCATATGGAAGCAATTTAGGTCAATTTGTAAGTAAACAGTGCATAAAATATAGGATAATAAACAAAAAAAGAGAAGGGAAAAATTATATAATTCAAAAAGGATGTAAATGAAAAGTTTGTCAAGAAACTATTTTCTTATTTCTTGCCAAAATGATTTGAAGGGATGGCTTTATAATTCTTCATCCACAACTTTCCAAAAAACGGAAACTCGAGAAGCGACTATATCATTTCTCTAACTATAGGTTGTCAAAAATGAAAAGTTGTTGGTACACGTCTTTGACTTTGGTGTGTGCCGCAACTTTACATCTACTGCATGTCCAGCTTTTTCTAAGTTCTTCCACTATCAAGACAAGAATTAACATATCACTGGTTCTATGGTGTATGCTAAGTTGCATCTATGTTATCAGCAAAGAACCATTTGGTATGTCTTTTCATGTCTTGTTCTGAAAAAGCGATGTTGAAACCATTGTGCAGTTCCTGAAGATATGCGCCCAGGGAAAGTAAAAAATAACATTCCAAGTTGGAGCGGAAGGGGGAAGGGGGAGACAAACGTTTTATAAAGAAAGTACATAGCTAAATTGGAATTTCCAGAGGAGTGGGAGGGTTCACACCAAAATCATCTCCCATAAGAGAGTGGGTAGAGGTGTCTGGTTATTTTCTGGAAGCACACATGCAGACAATCAGAGTGCATGTATATATATATCTAGGTGGGTTACTCGGAATGAGAAGTCATTGAAGTATGAAATATTTTCAATTTTTTTTCTCACTGTTATTGCATTCTGGCCCTTCTGGACTCTTTGTCTGGCCAGCCTTAACCAAATTGGAATATTTTTAAGTCTAACAAATCGAGTACATTATCAGTTCCTCTTCACTTATAAACATGACAAAGTCCCTGGGGTAAATATTGATGCCAACTCAGATTGAACATGTGAAAAAATGTTTGGTCGAATGATTTTCTGTAGTCTAGGTTTTTGTGTTTCTTAGCATTATGTAAGATGTAGTACCTGTAGCTAACACTTGGTCCCAAGCAGTATCTTCAAAGAACTCCTTGCCAGATGTAATGTCAGCTTCGATCACTTCCTCATGCAAGCAGGTAGGTCAGTGACCTCTTTTCTAACTTCATTCACTGGTATCTGCTGTCTCATTTGCATTAGTGCTTGCATTGCATTCTTACTAGCAAACCGAAAAAATCTTTTCTTCTGTCTTCTGTGGAATTATGAGTTGTAGAATACAAAATTTTTTTAATTCAATGAAATGTTTCTGCTATCAGAGGTAACATTTCCTGTAAGTCTTAAAGCAGAAACTTTGTCCCTTTGTTGTTTCTTTTCCCATCCTAAAATTTAATTCGAAGGCATTAGAGTAGAGTAGACATCTATATTTATACAGGACCCCAGGCTTCAAAACATTGCGTGATGAGGGGTTCAAATATTTCAGGTCGCTTCAACTATCTTTGAGCCTGCTGACGTGTATTAAGTATTCTCTTTGTTCTCTCGTCCAATAAGAGGTCGGATCGATTCCTGTATTTAGCCGGGGCCTTTTTTCTTGCTAATTGCAGCAATCGATCCAGCTAAATAAGTGCCGTATTAACCCTAACCCTAACCTTTAAAGTCGTGAAGAATGTTCAATAACAATGACTGAAAAAAAGCATCACTATTACAAATTACACTCGACGTCCATTCATCATGGGCTGGAGATTCGATCGCATAGAGACTTTGGCGACAGGAATGGTCACTTTTCCATACATGCTTACTAGGTTACACTTAAGTGAAGTTTACACAGACAAAACAGGTTTCATCTAGACCAATCACAAGTCGGATCGATTCCTGTATTTAGCCGCAAGTTTCGTAATACTCTTTAGCTATGTCGTATTTCCCGAGCGACTGAAACACATTACCTAGGTTTCCGTAGTCAGCCGGCTGCCTCTCTTTTTCTGTCGCCAATTTCAGTTCTTATGACAAGCGCTTTTTCGAGATACACTATAGCCTTTTCGTATTGCCTTAGCGACCGAAACACAGTACCCAAGTTTCTGTAGTCGGTTGCTTCTCATTTTCTGTCGCCAATTTCAATTCTGATTACAAGCCCTTTTTTGAGGTACTCTTAGCTTTATCGTATTTCCCGAGTGACGGAGACACAGCACCCAGGTTTCCATAGTCGTCTGCCACTCCTTTTCTGTCACCAATTTCAGTTCTGATGACAAGCCCTTTCTTGAGATACTCTTCAGCCGTGTCGTATTTCCCGAGAGACTGAAACACAACACCTAGGTTTCCGTAGTCGTACGCTTGTCCTTTTCTGTCGCCAATTTCAGTTCTGATGAAAAGCGCTTTTTCGAGATACTCCATGGCCTTGTAGTATTTCCCGAGCGACTGAAACATAGTAATTAGGTTTCCATAACATGATGCTTCTCTTCTGTCATCAATTTCAGTTTTCAAGACAAGCGCTTTTTCGTAATACTCTCTAGCTTTGTCGTATTTCCGAGCGACTGAAACACAACACCCAGGTTTCCGTAGTCGTCCGCTTCTCCTTTTCTGTCGCCAATCTCAGTTCTGATGACAAGCGCTTTTTCGAGATACAATTTAGCCTCATCATAATTCCTGAGCGAGTGAAACACAGTACCTGGGCTTCCATAACATGATGCTTCTCTTCTGTCACCAATTTCAGTCGTGATGACAAGCGCTTTTTTGAGGTACTCTTCAGCCTTGTCGCATTTCCAGAGTGACTGAAACAAAGTACCCAAGTTTCCGTAGTCGGCTGCCTCTCCTTTTCTGTCGCCAATCTCAGTTCTGACGACCAGCCCTTTTTTGAGGTACTCTTTAGCACCTAGGTTACCGGAGTCGTCTGCCTCTCCTTTTCTTTCGCCAATCTTAGTTCTGATGGCAAGCGCTCTTTCGTTATACTCGCCTTGTTGTATTTCCCGAGCGACTGAAACGCAGTACCTAGCTTTCCATAACGTGGTGCTTCTCTTCTGTCGCTAATTTCAGTTGTGTTGACAAGCGCCTTTTCGTAATACTCTTTAGCCTGCTCGTGTTTCCCTGGCGACTGAAACACATTACCTAGCTATTCATAAAATGATGCTTCTCCTCTTCTGTCACCCATTTCAGTTGTGATGACAAGCGCTCTTTCGTAATACTCTTTAGCCTTGTCGTATTGCCCGAGCGACTGAAACACAGTACCTCGGTTTCCGTAGTCAGCTGCCTCTCCTTTTCTGTCCCCATTTTCAGTTCTGATGACAAGCGCTTTTTCGAGATACTCTTAAGCTATTTCGTATTCCCCGAGAGACTGAAGCAACGCTCCTAGTTCTTCGTAACACGCTGACACTCCTCTTTTGTCACCAGTTTTGGCTCTCTTAATATCCTCTTTTGCTTTGAACCTTTCGCCAAGTTTATAAAAGAAAAATCCGACTCTTTCACAGGCTTTTGCTTCTCCAATTTTATCACCAGTTTCTCTCTTTATACTAACGGCTTTTTTAAAAAGTTGTTTGGCTTCCAGAAATCTGTTTTGAGTCTCAACTAACTGTGCTAAAGCCATGCTTATATCTCCTTCTTCTGCAACAGCACCAGACTCGTTGCAATGAACAAGTAGTTTCTTTCCGTATCTATCCGTGTTTATGTCGTCAGAGATACAACGATAAGCATTGAAGAGAACTTTATAGATGGCTCTGTAAAGTCGTGAAATAAATTGCTCTTAGCTTGGCTGCTTAGGCTGGTCTCATTTAGCAAAATCAAACATTCGCTGCACATCCCAATGGCTTTCTGAACTCGACCTGAGTTGAGCATGAACACGGCAACAAGTAAGACTATGCTCACGGAAGTTATCACGGCTTCTACCGTTAGGTTTTCCATTGCCATCCTCTCCTGTTATTTGATCCAAATTAGGGAAACATTTTTAGTAACACAGGTTAGCCAATGATTAGATAATCTGGATTAATTATGAGTCACTACGAACAGGAAGCTTTATGTGAACTTGAAGAAAACGAGCTGGGTCGATTACTTTCAGTACCGAGCTGAAAGTGTTAGAATTCACAATATCGACTTAAAATAAGGCATAAATGGAAAATGGGCTTGGATTGATAAAACAGGAGAAATCAAACGATCACATTCGGTGAAACCTTTTAACCTTGACCACAGATTTTTTGAAAACGAACTGTGTGACTGTTACGCTGTGAAAGTGAACTGTCATGCAAGTGATTTTTCATCTAGCTTTTTCGTTCTTTTATCAGATCACGTGATATAAAAAGCATGAGATGCGCTTAAGTTTGACTAATGGTCACGTGTTGGAGCTCGCGCTATCAAGTCGGGGGTATGTTTTGAAAGGTTGTGGGTTTCTTAAGAAACAAGAAGAATTAGTAACTCTTTTATTACAATGTTCTAGGGAACTTTCGTGATATTTTGCAAAGTGAAAAAGGGTTGTTCTCGCAGTTTATTACTAGGCAATTAGTTTACTTATCAAATGAATATGGCTGAAAACGAAAACAAGATGTGAGGTCATAAGGGTTTGACGAAGATTGGCTTTGTGATTAATTCATATCTCTTCGGTGGCGATTTTTTGCACAACATGATATGACTTTATAGTCACAGCACAGAACAGGACAAACCAGCATTCATGCTAGCCTTTGCGATTAAAAAGCTACTTATGCTGCAAGTAAACGTAAGGCTAAAGCTGAATTTTACGGTAATTTTATTCCAAAAACAATAGACTTACAAAATGTTGACCTCGTTGCCTAACAAAGTATATGTATCTCATGTTGAAGGGCTGAATTTAATAATTGTCCTAAATGTAATAAGATACTAAATGTAATAACAGTTGGTCCTGGATGTAATGAGCCTCCAATGCAATCGTTTAACTGCACTAGTGCATTGTTGTTATAGCGGACATCCACATTGGGATGTTAAAGTGACAGCTGTTCCACCAAAGAATCTTCTGACCAATATTCATGGCATACTGTGGGCTAGCTGATATCGATAAGCGTCTTTTTATTTGCAAGAGACGTAAGTCGATAAGCATTGTTTGCAAACCCTTCTACTGATGTACTTTTGGCATCATTGGCAAACGTCAAAACAATTAGAACGTTGACCAATACCTCCCTTTATATCATGGGCTCAGACTCTCTGGTGCGACAAATTTTGACGATGTACTTGTGTGATTAGTGATGAAGTTACCACTTCATGAACTTAGGAAAGTTTACCGGCACATTCGTGTGCCACTGGCACGCCCAACTTTCATGTTGCCTTATATCTTTCTAGCCATTGTTTACTTACGTTTTGTGCATGTTATTAAGCGATGTCGCGCCCTCCTGGTCCCGTGGAAATTTTTCTATGAAATTCAAGGGTTCTTTTATTGTAATTGAATTATGGGGCAAGCCCATGACGTGCATTAAGGTTTCGTTTTTTATCGCATATTTATTGTATCGCTTAGGTTTCTCTTAGCTATTTTCATATATTTCCGTTGTTAATCTCCACGCTTGTTCTTTCTTACACTAGGTCCTCAACTTATTGATTTCAGTTTACGAGACAATGTAGAAATTTAAGAAAGATCAGCAGTTCATTGCTTTGCCGTCTCCATAACATATCCCCATGTTTTGGTACGTTACTACCCATCTGCTCGCAAATTTCACTTGACATTCCAATTTCGCTTTGATGTCCGTTTACCGTTACATAAGGATTTTTCATTAAGTAATTTAAACTAAACAAGTTGACTGCAAATAAAAGGAAACATCAAACTCATGCTTTTTCGGTTAACCACAAAAAATTGCATCAAGTACTCAAAATAGAAGAGTTTGCGTGTCAAGAATGAAGCTTTTGACTTCAGGTGATATTGAATTAAACCCAGGTCCTCTTCAAGATGTCATTGTTTCCTTACTCGGAACTGGTCAGCTCAGACGACCACCACAAACCGTATAATATTATCCAAACTTTAATGATTATTCGATCTATGAGAAATACATTTGTAATTCGAAATCAGAAAACGTAAATTTAATCTTAATCTCATGGTAAAATTCAAGAAAACATGACTGGAAACTTACTTCTGTGGCGGGTCGTAAAAACAGGTTTTTCACTTCAGGTTAGCAGATTCGGGTAAGCGAACAGATACAAAAATCGACTTCTCTCTCACTGATTCTTCTGAAAAAAACTAGTTTAAATCACGACAAGCTAACACTTTAAATCATTGTGAGGAATTAATGTCAATCACGAGTTGTGTTAATTAAATTATATCTGTCATCAAAGGCAACGCCTATTTACTAAACGAAACAGTCATCGCTCAAACCACATTGTCATTGAACTGTATCACTTTCCTTGTTTTCTCTTGGACAGCAATATGTCTAGTACTGTGTACATTGTACCAAGCATTTTTATTTTTTTTGGGAACAGAGAAAGATCTGAAAGATCTGTGTCACAATTTTGGGTTGAATGCAATAATATTAGTTCCAGTTACATAATATCGAGTTCGTCCTGTTTCGTTGCTTAATTCACTCTGAACCAAACATTGATGGAACAAGTATTTTCCATTTCTCCAAGTAAGCCCATTTCTTAGCCCCATGACATGCCCGTATCTGCACTTGAAGTCAATGAGAATACAAAGTACATAAATTGTGTTTCCTTAAATAATCAGCAGTTTCTGGTTAATAAGTGTTACATGCAGTGCTACATTCCTTGTTTCTTTGCAGTGTTAATTGCTTTTGTACTTTCTTACAATTACAGTGAGTGAATATGTTACAAAACCTAATAATGAGAGTAATGAGAGTCATAATGAGAGTCAATCAGTATAATATAATAATGAGATAATAATGAGAGTCAATCATAATGAGAGTCAATCAGTACAAAACTTTGGCAACAATACACTACATCACCAGTGGACCTTTAGTTTTGACGTTTTTTTATTCCTCTAGCTGCTGGAGCTGAATAAGGTCTCGAATGCGCTAGTCTTTGGCGCGTTTGTATCTTAACTAAGGTTACTTCCCAGCTTCGCGGGTATCGTTCGGTAAAAAAAAATTCGTGTGCACGCCAGTTGAAATAAATTCCAAACAAACCATACATCAGAAGAAAACTCCATAAATTTAGTTTGCGATAAAGATATAGTATACGCGATTTTTCCCTTTAGGAAGTGTCAGGAGCCTGTAAGGCGTGAAACGACCTAGGGTCCCTCTGTTGAATTTATCGGGTATAGGATTCCACAGCCCGAGCAAAATAGCTGCACAGTCTTATTCACAAGGCACAAATCAACGAAATTGTGTCAGGCTTTTCCAATATTCCGATAAGTTGTATAGATATCCGCATCTAAAGTTGGAGTAAGGCATAGGTCTCACTTGGGCAAAGTTTTTATCTTTACCTTCCGAAAAACAACAGAAATTTAAAACCGCAACTGGAAAGTAAAACTTTAAGGTCGCACTGGGGTAGAAAGTGTCAGTAATGACAACTGAAGTAAACCAGATACGCGCCGTTTATCCACGTGTTGTCGGAGGACTGGAGCTCGGCTTTAAAAAGGAAAACCTCCAAGGAAAAACTCAACAAGAATGCATCTCGTTACAGCATTGCTGATAACTATCACAGTGATGCTTCTACTTTTAATTCAGTTAAATCAGCAGCCAATTCAGCAACAAATAAATATTGCGAAGAGCTCGCCGACATCGCCTGGGTTTCGATCGTTGCCCCTCTAGGATTATAAATTTGGCTGTGAGGATATATTGGGAATATTCGGCTGTTACGAAAACTAAGACCCTCGAACACTAAGACCTAGGATCTAAGACCCGTCTTTGCTTTCGAGATTACGGTAACTAAGACCCCTAAAATCGAATCCGTCGAAATATAAAGTCAAATTGTAACCAAAATAGGTCTAATCTGTCAAATAATCTCCTGTCTGATCCTTTAATTCCACTGAGTTTTAGGTCAAATTTAACGTTAAATTTAGGGGTCTTAGTCTTCGTAATTTCGAACTGACTAAGACCCCTCTCAGTTTTCGTAATTACGAAAACTAAGACCCCCACCAAACCTTTCTGTAAAATTTCTACAAAGTCGAATTACGACCGTGACATATTTTTTAGATCTCGATCGCTTAGTGGAGCGTTGAGGAGGACTTTTTTCTTCTTTTGAATTTTCCATGCGCAAAGATTTTTCCGCAAGCAAAGAGTTTCCACGTGTGAAATTGTCAAATGCGGGATGTAAACAAAATATGCAAATAATATGAGGAGGAGCGGTTGCCGCGAAAATTTCGGAAACGTTAGGTAAAATGTTTGACTTCAATTTCGTCAAATAAAAGAAAAAATGACTTTTTGGCATCTGAAGGTTGGAAGTAACCTTAAGCCATGAACTGATGCTACACACTGCAGGCGCGCAAAGTAACAAGCGTAAGACACGATGCAAAACATGTCCTTTCATTCACAACACTGATAAAAAATCGGAACACAAACTATCCATTAAGATCACCGATCACTTCACGTGCACCTCCGCTAATGTAAACTATTGCATAACTTGCCCTTCTTGCAAAAAGTTATACATCGGCGAAACAGGCAAAAGACTAGGTGACCGATTCCGAGAACACCTTTCCGTCGTTGAGCGCGGTGGTAACCCGCTTGAAAGACGGAAACAGGGTAACCACGTTTATCGAAGAACTGGCACATTGACTCTGATTTGTGATGGAAATCAGAGTCATCACTACATAAACGACGAAGTCTTAGAAACTGAGAAAAAGGAATGGAATTCTTAACGTGAGATGGATGCGAAGACGAATATAACAAGTAATTATGCGAGTCTGTAGGTTTGTAATACACACTAGTGCATAAACCGTTACCTTCAATTGAAACTTTGACGTCTAAAAAGGATAAAGAATTGTCAGAAATTTCCCAAGTATATTTCAGAGCCGGGTGAAAAGAATTGACTGCGGTTATGAATTTAGTGAGCTCCTCTCTGGTAGAGGAGGTAGCGCCGATACAGTCGTCGATGTAGCGACCGTAGAGTTCAGGTTTGGACCCGTTGTATTGGCTGAAAAATTGATGTTCGACAAAACCTACAAAAAGATTGGCATAGCTAGGTCCCATTTTGGTGCCCATGGCTACACCATTGGTTTGTTTGAAGAAGTTGTTTCCGAATGAAAAACAATTGAGTGTGAGCACTAGTTCGGCTAAGCGTAGTAGTGTTTCAGATTTAGGTTCCTTAACAGTACGTTGATCAAAAAAATGTTTAAGGGCCAGAAGGCCTTCGCCATTAGGAATGACAGTGTAAAGAGACGTAATATCCATGGTGAAAAGAAGTTTGTTATGTCATTCCTAATGGCGAAGACCTTCTGGCTCTTAAACATTTTTTTGATCAACGTACTGTTAAGGAACCTAAATCTGAAACACTACTACGCTTAGCCGAACTAGTGCTCACACTCAATTGTTTTTCATTCGGAAACAACTTCTTCAAACAAACCAATGGTGTAGCCATGGGCACCAAAATGGGACCTAGCTATGCCAATCTTTTTGTAGGTTTTGTCGAACATCAATTTTTCAGCCAATACAACGGGTCCAAACCTGAACTCTACGGTCGCTACATCGACGACTGTATCGGCGCTACCTCCTCTACCAGAGAGGAGCTCACTCAATTCATAACCGCAGTCAATTCTTTTCACCCGGCTCTGAAATATACNAGGAATGACAAGGACACATCGAAACCAGTCGCTAGACATTTTAATTTACCTAATCATTCTAAGCAACATATGGCAATCTGCGGTCTTTCCTTGCACTTAGGTAGCACGGAAAGCCGTAAAACTCTTGAACAAAAGCTCATCTTTCAAACCGGCAGTCTAAATCCCACAGGGATCAACGAACGCTTTTCATTCCACTTATTTATTCATGTTTTTCTCGTTGCCATGTTCCCACCAATAACGTAGCTCCATTTTCTGCCTTTAAAAGCACACACAACCCACAATTCCTCTATTCGCTCCGACGAAGGGCTAACGCTCGAAACGTCAGCTTTTGTAATAGTTACGGTGGCCAATTTACCATTTCAACTTTGTTGATATATCCAGATTATATCAGGTTAATCCAGCGAAAAAACACAGGTTTAGGACCCCAACGGAAAGTGGCACCAAGGTCAAAACACACCATTCCTGGTCAAGCATTTGGAGTTGGAAAAGACAACACGCTGTTTGGGGAGGTGAAAAATAGTTACTATTACGAGAACAAAAGCGGTAATTTTGATCAACAGTTGTCGTTTCTGCTACTCAGGTTGCCTGAAATTTAAACTTCGGGAGGTAAATAAACTACGTAGAGATCTTGGAAGTGCTATGGAACTCAAAAGATAGGTAGTAAGTGGCAAGTCTTCTACGGAGACGCCCCAGACAGGAGGCAAGATTTTCTCGCTCAGGAGCTACAGTAATGGAGGTATAAAAATGGATAGGAGTTTCGCTGGATGATTTATAAAAGAAAGGAAAAGTGATTATGTTGTTGATGACCTCCAAACCCGTGAAGTGATGAAGACGTGACTGTGAATATGTGAAAATCGTAAACACCTGAGCTGCTGATGAAAAAAAGCTATGAAAGCGATTTTCGCAGTAATGAACACTATTAGAGCAGTAGTAAAAATAAGATCTTAATGAAAAAAATAGCGTTTGTGGACAGCATGTAGAGTTGTAGATCATTTATCTAGGGTTCCGAATCCCTCCAGTTGTTCTCTTATCCCGCTTCCTTGCTGCCTTTAGCAATGGAGAAACTTGGAAAGTTTGCTTGTCACCATTTTACTCTGCAAACTGATTGCCGAAGACAAACCTTCAAGAGATTTCCCAAAATTTTTCCTAAGCTACCATTTATTTTTCACTTTGGAATGGTTAAAGAATCACATTTCTAAACTACCTTCTATTAAGAAAGTTACATTGGCCACGTCCAAAAAAAGGGCACTGTATGTATTTTCTGAATAATCATAAAATAGGTGGAAATATAAAGAGGCCCTTGATGGCCATAACAACAGTCTAAGAAGCTAACTTGGAAACAAGCAAAGGGCAGTAGTTAATATGAGCCTGCAAACAAACATCTTTTCTTTAATTACAATCTGTAGGTCACACAATTCATAATATTGCTGGTGTAAGTTTTTCGCTTTATAAAAGTCACACAATAGCCAATTGTCCTAATCCTATTTTCAGATTCATGCATTTTCCTATTCCGATCTTTCAGGAGGGAGACCAAAAGAAAGGGTTTTTGTGAAAATGCCACGTCAAATTCATTCTTTAAATATTTGATGTTCTATTCACTAATCCTAAGAAATGGCTTTGGAAAAACCCAACCGGAGTTAAGTGGCTCTTTTACTACTTAACTGATTATACTTTGCAAAAGAGCCTCATGTCAACACTTCTCCGTGCAAATGGTATGTTCTGTCACGCGTTGTGTGACTCGCAGGCTAAACGGGGATGGCGGTCAATTTTATTTGTTCAATTGAGTTGCTAAGTTTTTGGCGGTGCAAACCCAGATTTTGTTTCACCACTCGAAAATTTCTAAATAAATCACGGTGACAGTACTGGAGACGGTCTCGTTTCCTTTTTGCGAAATTTATTGGACGAGACTAATGGACCAGGACATAATTTGTAATCATAATTTGTGTTACAATAAAACATTGCCTGAGTGCCTAACCAATACGTCCTTCGGTTCAATATGGAAAGAGAAAACGCAGAATATCAAAATTTTATCTCCTTACGGATAAATATTTCGGGATCCCGAATACAAAGTACTAATACACTTAAAAGTGCTCCTAAACCCAAAATGTTTTTTTCGCTTAACGAAATAAGCGTATTTTTTGGAGTATTTCTGTGCAAAAATTTTTTTATTTGCTCAAATCTCCAATTTTCTGTGCCCAGTCAAAATACGGAAAATCGGCCGCCATATTGCCCCACGACCGAGTTTAAAGAGGAATGGCTCTAGCGGGTAATGTGACGTCAAATCGAGAACACGAAAGTCTGCATTTCACACATTTTCACTTGTTTGGGAAGGTTGTAGTCGATATTGTCCGAAAATATGCCGACTAAGTGTGTTGTAGAAGGATGTAGCAACGTGCGAAATTTGCAAGAGGGTATCGCGCTTCATACATTCCTCATACAACACACCTAGTCGGCATATTTCGGACAATATCGACGACAACCTTCCCAAACAAGTGAAAATGTGTGAAATGCAGACTTTCGTGTTCTCGATTTGACGTCACATTACCCGCTAGAGCCATTCCTCTTTAAACTCGGTCGTGGGGCAAGATGGCGGCCGATTTTCCGTATTTTGACTGGGCACAGAAAATTAAAGATTTGAGCAAATTAAAAAATTTTTGCACAGAAATACTCCAAAAAATAAGCTTATTTCGTTAAGCGAAAAAATTANTTACGAGCCTCACATCATCTCCAATCAGCGTAAACGAAGCCCACTCAGACACTTTGGTAAAGCCGTTATTTCTCATCCACTTCATGGCCTGATGCAGAGATTCACTGGCACTTTCTCCTTCAGCGAGATGTTCATAGAATTGTCTCATCAGCTGCTCTGTTGCTGAGTCTGGAATGGCCCAAAGCGCCGCTAACACCGAGCGAGCACCAGACCCTAAGAACGCACGGGCAATTCCTATAACTCCCTCGGCTCTCACCTCTCCACTTCCACTATGACAACAGCTAAGTACCACCAGTTTAGCTCTGACTTTCACTCGTGAGACATCAGCTATCGTCAACATATAAGCATCCTTTGGTGGGATAGCGTTTGGACTGTTGCAAGAAGGAAAGGGGGCGAGAGCAATTTCTCCTGTTTCGGCATTACCATGGGCAGCAAAGTGTATCAGACTCACTGAACTTATCCTTTGAAGTACCGCCTGCTTCGTTGCTTGCTCTTTCAACAAGGGCTGAACGCCCACCAGTCGTCCGACCATCTCCGCCTCTTTTCTTGCACCTGGCAATGGCAGCAACCAATCAACCTTAGGATTTCCTATTATCAAGGCACCTGTGTTGCTGTGATAGTCCTCTGGACTGTCTTTAATGGTCTTGAGTGTCGTCAAAGAAGGAATAAGACGGATCCTACGAGTGTCCGATAGGTATTTGGCTCCCTCCTTTTCCTTCAGAGCAGCAAAGGGAACTTTATACAAAGTGCTCTCAGGAACAATAATGACTTCTGGCTCCTCGAGCAAATCCCAAACTGGGGCAATAAAGATTTTGTAACAGAAAGATAGATTTGAAATGACTTTCTCTTCCTCCTCCAAGAGTCGCAATCTTGCGGGGTTCTTTTTCTCGGGGGAAAGAGATTGCATTTCAACCATATTTAAAGACCGATCTTCACAATCTTCAATGGACAAAATACCAAGACTTCGGAAAATATCAGCCAAAACTTTACTCAAATGCAAATCTTTGGGCAACCCAGCCTGAGCGAGACTCTCTCTTAGTGTACTTAGTTTAAAATGAATGGCTCCACTTGTTTTCAAGATCCACAAACGCACGTCATTTTGAAAAAAATAAATATATAGGCAAGTACAATTATTTTCCTTTCTCAAAATGTTTTCAATGCCAAACCAAGTTTGTGGATCAGCAGAAATGTGCGTTTCAACCGAGTACTTCTCTGCCATCAATTCTGACAGCCCTCTGGCTCGACTTAATTCCTCAACATAAAGAGCATCACGAAAATTTCCGGTGAAGCAAAGCAAACTACTCAGAAGCTTGTAGGGAAATATTCCTGAGTTTTCAAGAAATGATGTTTTGAACTCATCATTGAGGCCCAAGAAAGATCTCAACTCTTCGTACTTTTCAATGCATAGATGAAGATACGAAAGGGAATCTTTACTTTTTTTATGAAATATAAACAAAACGGCGAACTGTAAAAGGATCTCGAACTCTTTCTTTCTATCTCCAATATCTCTAGATATATATAATGCTCTCTCCAAGTATACCTCCGAAGCTTCATAATCTCCGATAATTCTAGACAAAGTTCCATGGTTTTCAAGATCTTCTGCTTCTCCCTCCTGATCACCAATTTGAGTTCTAATAACGAGTGCTCTTCCGTAGTACTCTTTAGCCTTGTCGTATTTCCCCAATGACTGAAACGTAGCACCTAGCTTTCCGTAGTCGTCTGCTTCTCCTTTTCTGTCGCCAATTTCAGTTGTGATGACCAGCGCTTTTTCGAGATACTCTTAAGCCTTGTTGTATTTTCCGAGCGACTGAAACACAACACCTAGCTTTACGTAATCGTCTGCCTCTCCTTTCTTGTATCCAATTTCAGTTGTAATGCCAAGCGCTTTTTCGTAATACTCTTTGGCCTTGTCGTACTTCCCTTGCAAGTGAAACACAGTACCTAGGTTTTCGTAATCGGCTGCCTCTCCGTTTTTGTCTCCAGTTTCACTGCTGATGACAAGCGCTTTTTCGCAATACTCTTTGGCCTTGTCGTATTTCCCAAGCGAGAAACACACAACACCTAGCCTTCCATAATCGTCTGCCTCTCCTTTTCTGTCGCCAATTTCAGTTCTGATGACAAGCGCTTTTTCGAGATACTCTTTAGCCTTGCTGTATTTCCCGAGCGACTGAAACACAGCGCCTAGGTTTCCGCAGTCAGCTGCCTCTCCTTTTCTGTCGCCAATTTCACTTCTGATGACAAGTCCTTTTTCGTAATACTCTTTAGCCTTGTCGTATTTTCCGAGCGACTTAAACACAGTACCTAGCTTTCCGTAGTCGTCTGCCTCTCCTTTTCTGTCGCCAATTTCAGTTCTGATGACAAGTGCTCTTTCGTAACACTCTTTGGCTTTGTCGTATTTCCCGAGCGAGTGAAACACAAAACCTAGGTTTCCGTAGTCAGCTGCCTCTCCTCGTCTGTCCCCAATTTCAGTTCTGATGACAAGCCCTTTTTCGAGATACTCTTTAGCTTTGTCGTATTTCCCAAGCGACTGAAACACAACACCTAGTTTTCTGTACTCGTCTGCCTTTCCTTTTCTGTCACCAATTTCAATTCTGATGACAAACGCTTTTTCGAGATACGCTTTAGCTTTGTCGTATTTCCCGAGCGAGTGAAACACAGCACCTAGCTCTCCGTAATCGTCTGCCTCTCCTTTTCCGTCACCAGTTTCAGTTCTAATGACAAGCGCTTTTTCGAGATACTCTTTAGCCTTGTCGTATTTCCCAAGCGACTGAAACACAATAGCTGGGTCTTCGTAGGCGTCTGCCTCTCCTTTTCTGTCACCAATTTCAGTTCTAATGACAAGCGCTTTTTTGAGATACTCTTTAGCCTTGTCGTATTTCCCAAGCGACTGATACACATCACCTAGCTTTCCGTAGTCATCTGCCTCTCCTTTTCTGTCGCCAATTTCAGTTCTGATGACAAGCGCTTTTTCGAGATACTCTTTAGCCTTGTCGTATCGCCCGAGCGACTGAAACACAGTGCCTAGGTTTCCATACTCAGCTGCCTGTCCTTCTCTGTGGCCAATTTCACTTCTGATGACAAGCGCTTTTTCGTGATACTCTTTGGCCTTGTCGCATTTACCGAGCGACGTAAACATAACACCTAGGTTTCCATAGCATGATGCTTGTAGTCTTCTTTCACTAATTTGAGTAGCGATAACAAGCGCTTTTTTGAGATACTCTTCAGCCTTGTAGTATTTCCCGAGCGACAAAAATGCAGTACCTAAGTTTCCGTAGTCGGCTGCTTCTCCTTTTCTGTCGCCAATTTCAGTTCTGATTAAAAGCGCTTTTTGGTAATACTCTATAGCCTTGCCGTATTTACCGACGGACTGAAACACAGCGCCTAGGTTTCCGTAATCGATTGCCTCTCCTTTTCTGTCGCCAACTTCAGTTCTGATGACAAGTGCTTTTTCGAGATACTCTTTGGCATCGTCGTATTTCCCGAGCGACTGAAACACAGTACCTAGGTTTCCGTACTCAGCTGCCTGCCCTTGTCTGTGGCCAATTTCACTTCTGATGACAAGCGCTTTTTCGTGATACTCTTTGGCCTTGTCGTATTTCCCGAGTGAGTAAAACACAATACCTAGGTTTCCGTAGTCAGCTGCTTCTCCTTCTCTGTCGCCTATTTCAGTCCAAATGACAAGTGCTTTTTCGAGATACTCTATAGCCTTGTCGTATTTCCCGAGCGACTGAAACACAGTACCCAAGTTTCCATAGTCGGTTGCCTCCCCTTTTTTGTCACCAATCTGGGTTCTTATGGCAAGGGCTCTCTCAATACTATCTTTTGCTTTTAACCATTCGCCAAGTTTTTGAAAGAAAAATCCCACTCTTGCACAGGCGTTTGCTTCTCCAATTTTATCACCAGTTTCTCTCTTTATACTATCGGCTTTTTCAAAAAGTTGTTTGGCTTCCAGAAATCTGTTTTGAGTCTCAACTAACTTTTCTAGGGCCATGCTTATATCTCCTTCTTCTTGTAAGGCACTAGACTCGTTGCATAAGACAAGTAGTTTCCTGCCGCATCTTTCCGCATTTATATCGTCAGAAATACGACGATAAGCGTTGAAGAGAACTTTATAGACGGTTTTGTAAAGTAGTGAAATAATTTGGTCTGTGCTGTTCTGGTTTGTTTCATTTAGCAAAATCAAGCATTCGCTGCAGATCTCAATGGCTTTCTGCGTGCGATCCGAGTCTAGCAGGAACAAGGCAACAGGTAAGGCCATGCACACGGAAGTTATCTTTCTTATTACCGTTAGGTTTTCCATTGCTATCCGGTCCTGTTATTTGATCCAAATTAGGGAAACATCATTTTTAGTAACACAAGTTAGCCAATGATTAGATAATCTGGATTAATTATGATTCACTATGAACAGGAAGCTTTCTGTGAACTTGCAAAAACACGGGCTGGGTCGATTACTCTTAGCACCAAGCCGCTCACAGCGGGCGGTATCCGTTTCGCTCGAGTAACTTTGCAAAACATCTCAGCTCGGAAGCCTTTTCAGTTACATTTACAAATTAAAAATATTTCGGTGAAAGCTTTCTCTTTAATTTGAATAACGTCTGTATTCTTTATCATCCACTCGCTAACAAATTATTAAGTTTATGGAGGAGTTTCCTGTAGTTAAACTCGTAATTGTAGCCCTGCATCATTTGGATTCTTTTGGCAATCATTTTGTTATGTGTATGATGCACGA